CCAGAACTAATTTAAACACCAATCTACAATTTAGCACCCTCAAAAACTTGGCCAAGGGGATACTTTCAGCCTCACTTTAATCTATTTTAAGAGGAACCAATACTTCCAGCAACACTACTGCCTTGTAAATCATAAGCCAAGATTATGCAATTATTTAAAAGCTATTGAATAGGGCACAGTGGCTCATGCCTAAATCCCAGCAACCAGGGAGGACGAGGCAGGAGGATCCCAAGTTTGAGGCCAACCTGAGCAACCAAGCATTAAGAAATTGTCTCAAAATTTAAAAGGGGCAGGGGGAGGCTGGGGTATAGCTTGGTGGTAAAGCATCCCAAGGTTCAAACCCCAGTACCACACCAAAAAAAAAAAAAGCAGCTAGAATACTGAAAATACAGAATAAAAAACAAAAGAAATGAGAAACAGCTAAAAATCCAAATGGTCTCATTTTCTAGGAAAGTATTTTTTTTATAAATGTGCCTTCATGCAAATGAAGGTGATAAATTTAAGTGAAATGGTAACATAAAGTTGACTTAGTTACCAAGGAATGGAATGTTCCGATGAACCAAAACACTTTGAAATTTATGTTATTAAATAAGAAGGCTTTCACTTTAGGAGGAAAATCAAGAAACAGGAATTGAATAAGCTCATAAACTTACTCAATCTACCATCTTCCATCTCAATTTCTCTACTAAAAAAGCATGAACTGAAAACACTCTTAAAGATAAAAACACCCCACATTCCAAAACCATTCACTGAGTAGCAAGCAATTCACTACAAACGCTCCAAAATCTTAAAACAAAGAGTCAGAGGCTGAGGATACAGAAAAGTGGTAGTCTGCAAGGCCTTATGTTTAATCCCTAGTCCTGTCCTCACCTCCCCAAAAAACTAGTTATGATAATAAAGCTAAAACAATCCCAAACCCTGTGTAATCTGTTGCATTAACATCTAGCCTACCATTTTCAGCAAGATAAGTAAGACCCATAAAGAAAAGTATCATGTTTTCTCAGATATGGAAGCTGGGAGGGGAGGGGTAGAGATGCAATGAAAGTAAAGGGGAGATCATTAGAGGAGAGGCAGACAGGGGAAGGAGGAAAGCTGGGAGATACTGGGGAGTAAAATGATAAAATTATGTTTTTATGTATGTATGAATATGCCACAATGAATTCTACCATTCTGTATAACTAATATGTAAATAAGAAAACTCTGACCTACTTTGTACTCTGAATGTACCTTTTTAACCAGGTATGACTTTATTACATCATGACTGTCATTTGGAAAATAATGAATTCACTGAATTCCAAATACTAACACACATTATGCAACATCAAAAAACCTACATCCATTAATACCATCACTACCTGGACACAGTGGCATGCCTTTAATCTCAGCAGCTTGGAAGGATGAGGCAAGAGTATCCAATGGTCAAGGCTAGCCTGGGCAACTTCGAAAGACCCTCTCTCAAAATAAAAAAATAAAAAGGGCTGGGGATGTAGCTCAGCATTCTGGGTTCAATCTCCATTGGGGGGGATTCATCACCAATATCATCTTTTAAGTACTGGGAAGGTGTCACATTCACAATTACAGAAACAAGCTTTCCAAAATTCCAATTTTTGCTTAAAAGCTCAATTGTTTTTACTGGCTACAAATACTGCCGGGTTGTTTTCTTTTTTCTTTGGGGGCAYCAGGATTGAACTCAGGAGCACTCAACCACTGAGCCACATCCTCAGCCCTATTTTGAATTTTACTTAGAGACAGGGTCTCATTGAATTGCTTAGGGCTTCGCTTTTGCTGAGGCTGGCTTTGAACTCACCATTCTTTTGTCTCAGCCTCCAGAGCCACTGGGATTACAGGTATGAGCCACCACACCTAGCTAGTGTTTTCTTGAAGTGACAGGGGAGGTTCAACTAATTAGCAAAAAGTTCCTGCTAAATATTCAAACTTGAATATCAACAGTTCATCACCAGTTCTGGTAAAGGAGCTCCATTGGGGGGGGGGGGGGAATAGGTTAAACTGGGTGTGGTAGCACACACCTGTAATCCCAGCAACCTGGGGGAGGCTGAGACAGGATTGACAAATTCAAGACCACTTTAGCAATTTAGTGAGGTCCTAAGCAACTTAGCAAGATCGTCTCAAAATAAAAAATTAAAAAGGCTGGGGATGTGGTTCAGTGGTTAAGCACACCTGGGTTCAGTCTCCAGTACCAAAAATTAAATAAACAAAACCACTAGATTAGCTTAGAAGACAAACCAAACAAGTACTCATCCTCAAAAATCACTATTCTACAAAGCATATTAAAAAGACAACCTCATGGGCTGGAGTTGTGGTTCAGTGGTAGAGCACTTGCTTGGCATGTGTGAGACCCTGGGTTTGATCCTCAGTACCACATATAAATAAATAAACATATAAAATAAAAGACCCATTAGTACACATATAAATAAAAGACCCTCAGTATCACATATAATTACATAAACATAGAAAATAATGTAAAAGACACTTTAAGGATGAAAATTTAATTTTTTTTTTCTTTGTAGAGCTAGGGAATCAAATCTAGGAGCACTCTACCATTGAGCCCCAGCCCAAATAAACTTTGTGATTTTTGGTACTGGGAATTTAATCCAGAAACTGCCACCAAGCTACATACCCAGTCCTTTTTATTATTTTCTTTTAAGTTTTGAGACAGGTAGGGTCTTGCAAAACTGCCAAGGCTGGTCGTGAACTTATGATTCTTCTGCCTTAACCTCTAGTGGCAAGCACCTACATGCCCAGCAAATTAACATTTTTTAATGCTTCATCAAGAACCTTCTGAACTGTGTAGTAAAAAAATATGACATGTACAATATGGAGCCACCTCTGCCTTGACTGATCCTAAGGCACTAGCAGCATTACTCAATTACTCACCATTACTTTCACACTATCAGTGCAAATGCCAGAAGTAAAAGACATAGTATCTCATTATTATTAAAGATCTTAGGTACCCTCTAAAAGGATCTCAGTGACAACCTCCACTCCAGGCATCCACAAATAGCACTCAAGAAACACTGCTATAAGTATAGTTACTAACCAGAAGATCCCAGTTCTACCTTTTATGGCTACATGAAACTACCCTAATTCCCTTTCTTGTGACAGCTTCCACAATGTTTGGGAGAAAATCTCTGGTCTCCCCTTTAGCAAGACTTAAATGTCTTTTCCAGTAATTTCAATATTCTTTGTGGCATGAATGCTTGGTCATTGATGTTGATTACTCTCCTTTATGTCCTTTTATTTAAAGTATGATAGCCACAACTCAAGTGATTTCTGTTTTACATTTATACAGGGACTATATTAATATTCTCTRTATTATTCTAGTTTTCATATACTCATTTCGCTGAAGTGAAAATTTAATAGAAACTTATACCTTCCTTCCTCAAAGAATGTTAGAAAAAAGCAGATGCATTTAGATTTACTTGAAATTGCTCCATGAAACCATTTTCTTTAGAGTATACATTTCATCCATCTTTATTACTGACATAATTATCAAAAATAGGAGTCCCTTTTCAAAAACAGCAATGAACTGTAAGCTAACACTAAATCATCACGACATCATTTGAACATTTATCTGAATTCCTTCTAAACTGAAAAACTGCCACAAAAAATCTTGTTTGATCTGGGCTCCCCCCAGAGCATCTTTTTCCAATTCCATGATAATATGAATCAACAGAAACCTCACCAATTTTAAATCTTTGCTAAAAAAGTATTCTAATTACAAAAATAATCTGAGAGGTCTCTAATCAGGGGTGAGTGAGTGAGGCTGGAGCACAAGAGGGAGTCAGAAGATACTTTTTTCAAATAATTATGTAAAATGCGATAGATGTCATTAAAGGCATGTGTCAAAATTAAAGTCTCACCTTTAAAGACACACATATATTTACTTAACTTTTACATATATATAAATTTCTTTTTTCTAGTTATAAATTATATTTGCAAAAACGAAATTGTTCCTACTTTCACAAAGTTAAGCTGACTTAACACTGGGTGCCCTAGAAACCATAAAATCTTTACCTTGAATTTGATTTAAACAAAACGTCAACTGTCAATGACACGCTTCGTTTGGAATGCAAAGATGAAGAAAACTCAGCCTTTCGTCTTTTTAAAAGGGGCACTCTAAACCCCCCAAAACTGGAAGGAATGCAGTCTCAAAGTGGAGGCCCCTACACTGCTGAATATAAGCAGAGTAAAGGCTCTAATCTACTTTTTGATCCCAGAAACAAGTTTTCAAACTGCATCTTGTTCTTAGGAGGAAAAAAAGAGGGAGAGAAAACTTTTTTAAAACCTTGTAGGGCTACGTAAGTACCCGCTGTAGGACTAGCGGATCAGAAGGGGTCAGGGAACGAGCTCTCTCTAATAAGGGTGCAATCCGGGGCGGAGAGGAGCGTCCGTGGGCATCGAGGGCGAAGGACGAGGAAGGGAATCCCGTGACCCACCCGGACGAGACCGAGCACACGCACCGGGGGCGCCCTGTCCCGGAGCACCGGGAGGCCGCGGCGGGGCCGCAGGAGCGGGCCTGGAAGCTCAGACCCGGTCTCACCCGCGCTCACGCAGGTTTGCATAAGGGAAGCGGAAGTGGGTAACTCAGGCGCACGACAGGGGCGCCCAGAGAACGGGAAGAACGGAGGGGCCCAACAGAGACTGACGCGCCGGTGGCGGCGAGAGCGAGGAGGCGCGAGCGCAGCGCCCACGAGGAGCGGGCCCGGCAGCCGCGCTGCCGCGCGCCGTTCCGTACCCAGCGCCGGCAGAGCAGCGGGAGCAGCCCCGGCTCTTCCGGAAGGGGAAGGCCCCCGGCCCGACGGCCGCGGCCCGGCCAGGAAGGGGTGGGAGACGCAGGCACCGGGCGGCGGCAGCGGGCCCGGGCGGCCGTCCGCCGGCAGCGGGCAGGGCGCGGGCCCGGCTCGCGCCGCCCCTCCCCCTCCCCGACGCCCCCGAGGCCCGGCCGGCGTGCGAGAGCAAACAGAACACGAATCACTTACAACGGCATCGTCTCCTGCGCCGGCACCGCCCAGTCACTTCCCCCCCGCAACCGCCGCCGCTGCCGCCCTGGGCATGATCCACTGAGGCGGGAGGGAGGGGGGGGCCTGCCTCAGCCCTGGGTCCAACCCCACTCCCGCACCCGCTCCCGCCGCTTTAAGCGCTTCTCCTCCTTCCCCTTCGTCCTAACATGGCGCCCGAGCGCTACCACAGCAACGTTCTAGAACCGCTGACGCCGCCACGCACGCCGTGCGCGCGCCTGCGCACCAGACACCCGGCACCGCGCCGCCTCACGGGAAACGTAGTTTGCGAAAAGACCGTGGGCCCTCAGTTCCCACCCTGATCCTCCCACGCTTCCGCGACGGGTGTCGGGGGACGGCGGGGTGTCGGAGGCTCCGGACGGCAGTCTGCCCTCAGGCGGGGATACCCTAGTGGCCGAGTGGGGGCGACGCGGTTCCGATGGCGCGGGAAGGTTCCGCTGCGACCCCCGGCCTCCGAGGCGCCGCTTCCGGTGCACCGTGCAGACCCGCCCTTCTCGCCTCCCGAGGCACTGGCGYGTGAACCATGTGCTGCTCGGGGGCGCGGGTGGGTCGCTGCCGTGGGTTATGACAACTTTCTCAACCGCACCGTAGTTTACCGAAGGTAGGAGTCATGCTTACTTCATAGGGTAACCGAGGCTTTATGCGGTGAAGCCAGAGAGGTGCTTAGCTCGGAGCCTGGCTCGGCGCGCCACAGCGTTGCTAGGACTCGCTCTCTCCTGCGGTACTGCGTTCCGCCGACGGAGCCCCTCGTCCGTCTGGTCCACTGATGTTCCTGACGTCTGTATGCAGGCTCTCCGCAGATATTTATTGAGTGGATAAGTTTTGCTAGATCGGATTGTGATGACAGCCAGTTCTGCAACACGAGCTACTTGATAAAGCTGCCGGTAACTACTGAGATTTTAGCAAAGGCTGTTTTGAGCCGAATTTCCCCCCAGGCTGTGTTTCCAGCCCTTAATCTCTTTGTGGTGGGACCTAGAATTCGACCTTCTGCCTTGTCACCGGTAAAAGCTTGAAAAGGTGCCTGAGGCAGCCCCTGCACTCTGACGCTCTTTCCCTCTGTAAATTAGAATGGACATTCCAAAGTGTTGCACAAGTTAATAAGGGTAGGGTGGGGGTCAAATGAGTAGGGGAAAGCGTTAGCCTGAAGTTTCAAAACTCTAAATATTTTTATATGCTCTTATAAATCCGCAGAAGATCTGACAAAGGACTTATTTTCCTTCTAGGACTAATGATTCAGAATGCGAAAAGCACAGGCTGTAAATCTGTATGCCACATTTGGCTGTTAACCACTTGAAATGAGGCTGTTCCATTTAATATGAGCTGTAAATGCAAAATACACACGGATTTCGGAGATTTTAGCACAAATTAATAGTGTGAAATACTGTAATCAATTGCTTTATATTGTTTACATGTTGAAATAATGTTTTGGTTCTGTTGCATTAAAGAAAATGTTATTAAAATTAATCTCACTTGGGGGGCTGGCATCTCCAAAAAATTTGAGGATATGAGATTCAGAGAAATCCATAACCTATTAAGGCTTTGGTCTTAAAAGTGGTCAATGGAGTGCTGGGATTGTAGCTCAGTGGTAGAGCCTAACATGTGTGAGGCCCTAGGTTTGATCCCCAGCACCACATAAAACTAAATAAACAAAAGTATTGTGTCCATCTACAACTAAAAATATATTTAAGAAAAAAAAAAGTGATCAGTGAAGTCCTAGCCCAGGGTCCTGACTGGGGAACTGTCAAATGAGGTCTATTTGCCCCAAAAAACAAAAAGAAAAGGTAACATTGAAAAACATGAAAGGAGCTTTACTCTTTAAAGCATGACTGTACTGAGAAAACAAAGGCCCTTAGCCCAGAGACTGAGAATGACTTTGATGTTTTATAAGGGAATAGGGGCAATGGTGAGGGGGGTCTACACAGCTGGTGGGATTTCATAAGCTGCCAAAACAGGTGATCTTGACCAGGTCATTATCTCAGGATTGGGCAGGCAGGGCCTTGTCCCAGAGGAGAAAGTGCTGTTGCCTGGTAGGGAGCTGGTGGTAAGGTTGACTCATCACATGATCATTATCCTATCAGACCTTGTTTCTGGAATCCAAGGTGACTCAGAGCAAAGAAGATGAATGCAAAATGCAGGCAGAGATGCCAAGTCTTTAATCCTGCTTTTAACCATCCATTGGACATTTGCAGGAAAAAGTAAAAGTCTTAAATCCTTGATACTGAAGTTGCTCATAATAATGTGTCTGAAGGTGTTGAAAGGAACGTGAGGAACGAGAGACAGGTAAGCAAGAAATGAAAGACAGAGACCAGGCAGACATAAACAGGGGAGTTTATTTGTCAGAGCCGTCAAATAAAGGCCATCTCTCTATAGTGGAAAGAGGCAAAACAGGCTTGGGTTCCAGGACTTTTATGGGGCAGGCTCAGGATCCTACTGCAGGTGGTTAGGGGTTGAATTGGTATGAGGGAGTGGGAAAGCGAAACTTTTCCCTTAAAATGGTGACTGTCACTTAAGATGTCCTTCTAGATGCTAAGCAAGGATCTTGTAGTCCCCACTTTTTTGTTTTTTATTGGGCCTCTTAGGAAACAGGGATGTAGGTCAATCTTCTTTAACTTCTACCTGCTGGGAAGGGGCGGCATTTAAATCCCTCATTAGGGGCACGGGATGTAGGTGACCATTGTCCAAGTCATAGAATGGCTATGACTGAGTGGAAAGTTGAATTAATCAGAAGCCAAACGGAGGGGGCAGCCAAGAGGTGAGTCAGGTGGGATTCTGGATTGGGAGTTCCCCATGGTGAGTTGGAGTGCTGGAGTGGCTAGAGGAAGACGTCTCCTGCTCTAGGACAAACCAAGAGTGAGAGAGGGGTCAACATTGGAAGGGGTGGTCACCACCCAATTCACTAGYCCCAGGGCTGAAGCCTTTCTGGGACTGAGAGAAGGGAGTCGTCACCTACTATTTCCCTAGTCCCGGGGTTTGCCCATAGAGAGTCTTGTTGCCTGGCCAGGGCTTTTGTGAGCTCTGCTGAAGAGCTGAGAACCAAGACCTGAGAGTGAACTTGCCCAGCGGAAGGGATGGGAAGGTCGAGAGTCTTGGTGCTGGGCCAAGATCTAGGTTAACTATTGTCGCTAGAGAGAATTGTCTGAGTGGTGGTGGAATGCAGTCCCCAGCGGCCCAATTTTGGTGAGGAATTGGTGGTATTCCTGTAACAAAAGCTGGTTTATAGTTTGGCTAGAGGTTTTTTTGGATCCATTTTTTAATTTTAGTTTATGAGTGCCCTATATGTTGGTTTTGATACACACACATAGACAAGACAGTACACAGAATAAATGAGTGAAGGCCTTATCACTTTTAAAACTTATTAGATTAAGAGCTGAAGGGAAATCAAGAAATGAGAGACAGGTAAGTAAGAAATGAAAGGCAGAGATCAGGCAGACATACACAGGAGAGTTTATTATTTGTCAGTGCTGACAAATAAAGGCCATCTCTCTATAGTAGAGAGGCAAAACAGGCTTGGGTTCTAGGACTTTCATGGGGCAGGCTGAGGAATCAGAGCCCAGCTGCTGGTGGTTAGGGATTGGGTTGGTATGAGGGAGTGGTGAGCCTTTCTCAGAAATGCCCTTGGGTGGGAAAGTGAAACTTTTTCCTTAAAATGGTGGTTGTCACTTAAGATGGCCATCCAGATGCTAAGCAAGGACTTTTAAGAGCCAACTTTGTAAATTGGTCTCTGAGCCAAATGGAGTGTTAGTTAGTCCTAAGAAAAAAATGATATGACCATTAATTACTTCATTAAAGTGATATGAGAGAAAGAGATAGGGAGGAGGGAGAGGGAGAAAATTTTGAAGTCRTTCTGTGTTGCAGCCAAGGGAAAATTTAAATTGACTTTTTTTTTTTWARKTTTWARSMWTTWAAAAAAAAAMMAAMMAAAAAAAAAGTTTTAAGCATTTTATCAAGCCTGCTGAGTCTGCCCTTTGTATTTCAGTGTGGCCTTGGCCAGGGACATTGCTGCCCAGGGCTTTACAATGTACTGTGCCCATAGAAGCAGGGAGGAGGGTTCTGCATCCCTTGTTTGTCTAGAAGTAGGGTCTCTGGAGAATCCAGAGCTTTAGTGGCAAGTAGAAGCTGGCAGGGCGGTGGGCAGGARGAGCCCAGGGAAGGCTAAGAGTGAGAAAGGAGAGAGCCTGCACATCAGGGGTTCCCTGCCATTTTCCTGAGCGCTTGCAAACGTTATGAAGATTAAGGACCCAATGAGGCCGGAGTGTAGATGAAGAAGAGCGCCAGGTGAATGGCAGAAGGTGTATGGTCACTGTCCTGGGCCTTCAGGCCAGGATCCCAAAGCAGCCCAAATCCCTGAGGGGAGAGCAAAGCTGATGGGAGAACTGATGGAGTCACCGGCATCAATGAAAGAAAAGTGGCGCAGAACTAGTCACACACCCACCTGGCGTAAGAAGCAGGTTTATTGTCAGGAGCCTGACAAGGCTACTCTGCAAAGAGAGAGCAGCGTCAGCAAGGAGGGACAGCAGGTGTTGTGATTGGGCCAGAAAATGGAGGGGGGTTTGAGACGACGTGAATGGCCTCGGGGTGTGAGGCGATGCCAGCCAGTAGGGTCCACCTGGGAAGGGGTAATGGGAAGGCACTGGCAGATGGAATAGAGGACGGTCCTAAGGTGAGGGTGAGGATCAGGGGAGCAGCAGGTGAGTCTGGATGGAAGTGTATACGAGGGGAAAAGGAAAGTGTCACCCCCAACTTTGTCAGGATGTCCCTTCCCATAGAGAAACAGGGCACTGTGGAATGACCAGAAAGGAGGGGTAAAAATTAGCCAAAAGTGCAAACAAGGCTGAGTGTCTGTGAGGGTTGTAAGGTTTGCCCTCTACCCCACAACAGAGGTCATAGAGCGAGTGGTAGCCCCAGGACTCCTTGAGGACTGAATATGTAGCCCCAGGGTCTAGGAGGAAGGAGACAGGCCCACCTGAAATGCACAGTTACCCTGGGTTCCCGCGGAGTGAAGGGACTGGTCAGGTGATGGGGACCTGGGCCTCCCCAGTCCTCTGCAGTCAGTCTTAAGAGTTGGAAAGGGGAGCCAGAAGGGCTGGGTGGCTGGGAGCCACAAGAACTTGGGGACAGTCAATGGCCCACTGTCCCTCCTGATGGCATTTAGGACAAGGGCCCG